AAATCCAGTCGAACCAAGTGACTGTGTCCATTCACTACCTCACAACCGGGACTCTCATGCAACTCTTAATGACAACCTGCTTATTGGAGACGACACTGAAGCCTCAGAAGCACAAGTAGTTCCCCATGACCATAACACAACATCTATACAAGAGAGTGGAGCTGAACCTATTGTGATCCCAGCTCAACCCCGCAGGAATCCGACTCGAGATCGACATCCACCATCAAGGCTGCAAGACTATGAAACTTACCATGCAAGGTACCCTATTCACAAGTTTGTAAATTACTCCAAAGTCTCTCACTCTCATGCAGTCTTCCTCAGTAAACTGTCCTATGAAAGTGAACCAAGGAACTTTCAAGAAGCCAATCGCCAAGTTGTGTGGAGGCTAGCCATGGAAGAAGAACTCAAAGCCTTGAATAAAAATAAAACCTGGAGTGTAGTTCAACTTCCCAAAGGCAAGAAGGTGGTAGGCAGTCGGTGGGTCTATAAAATCAAGTTTAATTCTGATGGCTCAATTGAACGACACAAGGCAAGATTGGTGGCTCGCGTTTTTACTCAAACTTTTGGAGTGGACTATAAGGAGACATTTGCTCCCGTGGCTAAGATGAGCACAATAAGGGTTTTGTTATCTGTTGCAGTGAACCATGAATGGCCATTGTACCAAATGGATGTAAAAAATGCTTTTTTACATGGAGACCTCAAAGAGGAAGTCTACATGCAACTACCCCCGGGTCATCCACAAGCACAGAATTCAAGTATGGCTTGCAAGCTTCATAAGTCAATCTATGGCTTGAAACAATCTCCTCATGCCTGGTATGCCAAACTAAGCTCGGTACTTGAAAATTTTGGGTTCAAGAGAAGTCATGCTGATTCCTCCCTATTTGTTCGAATAGGATCAGTTGGCAAATTAGTTGTACTAATCTATGTTGATGATATCATCATCACAGGTGATAACATTGATGAGATTCACACTCTTAAACATTCTCTTCATCAACAATTTGCCATTAAAGACTTAGGAGTTTTAAAATACTTCCTTGGGATTGAACTGTCCACTTCCCCCAAGGGACTTTTTTTGAGTCAAAGGAAATATGTGATTGACTTACTTCAAGAAGTGAAGATGATGGATTGCAAACCAACTCGTACTCCTCTTGATAGCAAATTGAAGTTGGACTTGACAGGAGAACCTCTCAGTGATATCAATTACTACCAACGATTGGTGGGTAAGCTTATATATCTCACCATCACTAGACCGAATATAACTTACGCCGTCAGTCTTGTAAGCCAATTCATGCATGCACCCACTGAAGCTCATTTAAATGTTGTTAAAAGAATTCTCAGATACCTCAAAGGCTCCATTGGTCGGGGAATCGTCATGAAAAACAATGGTCATACTCAAATCATTGCCTACACCGATGCTGACTGGGCAGTGGAATGCTATTGATAGAAAATCCACTACTGGCTATTGCACGTTGGTTGGAGGAAACCTCGTGACATGGAAGAGCAAAAAACAAAATGTAATTGCTCACTCAAGTGCCGAAGCTGAGTATAGAGCCATGGCTTCCACTGCATGTGAACTCATTTGGCTCAAGGGCCTTCTCTCGGACTTGGGGTTCTCAATCAACACACCTATGTCTCTTTTCTGTGACAATCAAGCAGCTATGCATATTGCCTCCAATCCGGTGTTCCATGAACGCACCAAACACATTGAAGTTGACTGTCACTACGTTCGGGAACAAGTCCAGTCCAAGGTAATTCAAACCACATTCACTCGAAGCCAAGATCAACTTGCTGATATTTTCACGAAGTCTCTTGCTTCTCCTCAGTTTCAAAGTCTGCTCTCCAAGCTTGGATCAATTAAACTCCTTGATCCAGCTTGAGGGGGAGTATTGGAAGAATAAGCCCTCCTACAGCCAGCCGTCAAGCCGTCCTATAGCCGTCAAGCCGTCCTACAGCCGTCAAGCCGTCCTACAGCCGTCAAGCCGTCCTACAGCCGTCCTACCTTGTCCTACCTACACACTAGCCGTCCTACAGCCGTCCTACCTTGTCCTACCTACACACTTGTATCATGTATATATATCCTTGTAATCTTGTAGAGAAACAAAATGAGAAAAAACATTCTCTTCCATATTTTCCACACTATAAGATAGAGATCTGAATGCAATGTGAGAAACAAAATCAATTACTTGGCACTGCCACTGCAGGAATTTAACATAAGAAACTCCTCCCATCAATCACCAGTTGCGTTTCGTGTATCGAAACTCACCAGATATGCTCACAAGTTCATACTAATAATTATTTTAAAAACAGAAACAGAAGCAAAATAAGAACAAGGATTTGTGTTTCAGGTTTGGTTATCTAGAGGTAGACGTCACAAAATTATATATCAGCCAACGAGAGCGAGCAGCAAGAGTAAAGTTAATTAATTTCAATGAAAATATTAAAAAAATAAAGAATAAAACTTTACCATGGGAATCTGCAAGCAGAGATAGAGAGAGAGAGAGAGAGTACAGATTTGTATTCTGTGAATTATTGCACTTGACAATAATGAGGATGCTTGTTTTCTGAACATGGATTGTCGAAGGATTAGATAGTTTGGAGATTGATAATAAAAAAAGGAATATAGTTTGGAGATTGGTCAATCTCTGTGCGAGTTATTGTATAATAAGGGCTAGACATTGTTTAGAATAGTCTCTCTTCTGTGGCAGTCGCACCACTTCTTATGAACTAACCCTTAACACACACTTCCGTGGACTCACTCCGTGTATTTTAGCATTTTTGCAAAAATTATATAAATCAAAATTATTAAGATATTCATTTGCAATGAAGAAATAGAAGAAAATTTTCTAAACTTCATTGACTTGCTGCACAAATAGTGGATGATCTAAAATATCTTGACCAGCATGTCCCGTTCGTTTATATCTTGTGTAGTGATTTATAGCAAACTTGTGGTTCTTTTGTTTATCGCATTTGGTTTCAAAATTAAACTCTGCAAGATTAGTCATACCTTCTTTTCTTTTTCATGCTGTTGCAGATCGAGTGGGAAGAATCCGAGTTCATATTACTTCTCTCTGTTTTGTACATTCATGTTGCCCTAAAATATGCATCCCCTGTTAGAGTTAATCTCGTTACTCCGCGTCTTGATGTAGATTATGCGTTCGCGTACGACATTTTCTTTGGTAGTTCCTTACCACTGAGCTGTGAGCACTCAGCCTCTTCATAGACTAGTTTTGAAGGTTGTAGTCCTTGTTGGATGTTTTACAGATTTGTATTCTGTGAACTATGGCACTTAACAATAATGAGGATGCTTGTTTTCTGAACGTGGATTGTCGAAAGATTAGATAGTTTGGAGATTGATAATAAAAGAAAGAATATAGTTTGGAGATTGGTCAATCTCGGTGCGAGTCATTGTTTAATAAAGGTTAGACATCATTTAAAATAGTCTCTCTTCCGTGGCAGTCGCACCACTTCTTTTTAACCAACCTTTAACACACACTTTCGTAGACTCACTCCGTGTATTTTAGCATTTTTGTAAAAATTATATAAATCAAAATCATTAAGACATTCATTTGTAATGAAGAAATTGATCAGATTTAGATGATTTTTTGGTAGACATAGTCTTTGAGAAAAGAATAAGTGATAAACATTTCAGATCGTTTAAATATATAACAAAGTAAGTATTGCAAAAAATGTGTGTCAAAAATTATGTACAAAAAATGATACCACGGATTGAATGTACTGAACTTGCTCTGATAGATTTTCCTTGGGATTTCTCTTTGTTTAATTTCATCATGGGAGCTGATCGCCAAACTCTCCCCTAATAGTCAAACTCCTCTCATATTCTATATTATCCTCACTACCCATTGACTTAATCCATCGGGGAAACTTCCTCGTCAATAAGTGTGAAGTTTCTTGGTGGCTATTAAGAATCTTCCCTCTAAGTCGCGGTAAGGCTTAAGTCCCTTCCATTTACTATACTTTATTTTTTTTGTTTTATTAGCCGCTTGCCAAAACTTATGCGTGCGATAATTAGTCTTTGTAGGTTAAATTAGAAATTTTTTTACGATTTAAAAAGAAAATAGAAAATTAAGTCACTTTGTTTAGATATTTATCAATCATAAAACACCTACCAATTTACAGTTTACACCGTAAAGTTTGGATGCAATTGCAACCTCAAACATCTTTAAAACATTTCAATTTTATACATAAATTTGTATTTTATTGCAATTTTATATATCTGTTAGTCAAATCGTCAATTTACTGTTAAGTGATGACTGACAAATACATGAAACCACATATTCTAAAGACCTGGCATATAAAAATAATTAATTATAAAAACAATTTAAATACAAAACTAAATAATAAACAAAGTAAAAAGGGACCCACCCCCTCTTCTCCCACCCGAGCACACCACATGCATTTCCACCTTCTTCCCCTTCTTTCTCCATCAGCACCACCCATTCCATACAACCACCATGTCATGTCTTTGGACCAATCTTATTTCTAATTTGACTCCTTCAAGTCAAGCCACATGCCCCCAAAAATATCCTAACCCCGAAAGTCAAATTAACGTTTGAAAAAAATAAAATAAATAAATAACGGTTTGACTAACAGACATATGAAATTGCTACAAAATACAAGTTTGTGTATGAGATTGAAATGCTCTAAAGATGTTGTATGAAATTACAATTTTACTCAAATTTGAGGGTGTTAAATGTAATTTACTTAATTTAATTGTAAATCTTGAAGTTTTCAAGGGCAAGTTATGGTATTTACATTTAGAATTCTTCACAATTTAAGATCTCCCACTTTATATATATATATATATATATATATATATATAGACAATTTAATAGTAAATTTTGAAGTTTCCATGGATAATTATGGTATATTGAATTCTTCATCCCTTTATATATATATATATATATATATATATATATGAGAATTAAGGTTTATGTACACCTCGTAACTTTTTATTGTCCTAGTTTCATCAAAGAAGTGCTAGTGGGGGATTCTCCACAACAACTGATAGTCAGACTCCTCTCCAATTCTATACCTCAACATCCCATTCACTTACAAGGAAACTTCCTCGTCAATAAGTGTGGAGTGCCTGGTGGCTAATGGGAACCTTCCTCTTCATACATATGTCCCTCTCAGAAACAGCACATAATTGTCCTTGGCCTTGCATATGCTTGCCCTGCATCCATTCATTGCAAGAACCAAGAAGCAGAGAGTTTCTCTAGATGGATGCTTTCCGAGATTCTTCTTCCTCCTCTTACCGGTGTTCCTATCATGCCTTCTTGAGTTTCAGAGGCCAGGACACGCGCAAGGGCTTTACTGATCACCTTTATAGAGCCTTGGAGCTAGCAGGAATCCACACGTTTAGAGACGATGATGAAATCAAGAGAGGGGAGAATATTGAGTCGGAGTTAGAGAAGGCGATACAGGAGTCACAAGTATCGATAATTGTCTTCTCCAAGGACTACGCTTCCTCAAGGTGGTGTTTGAACGAACTTCTGAAGATCGTGGAACGTAGAAATACTGATCGTAGACATGTGGTTTTGCCAGTTTTCTATGATGTGGATCCATCCGATGTCAGGAAGCAGAGTGGTTCTTTTGCTGAAGCATTTGCCAGACATGAGGAGCGATTCAGTACGGAGGAGATGGACAAGGTGGAGCTGTGGAGAAGAGCTCTTAGAGATGTTGCATCTTTGGGAGGAATGGTTTTAGGAGATCGGTAATTTCTATTCTCATTATGTTCTCACGCTAATTGAAAGTGTCTTTTAAATTAGAAAACTAGATTTTAATCTCTAAATAAGATGAAGTTTAGAAAAATGTCTTATACAAGATTAAAAATTGATTTTAGTTCCTAGACTCTATTTAATGCCAGCATATATTCAATGTCTCTTGTTTTATTCATAATTTTATGAATTTAAATTTTATCAAAATATAATAAATTTTAATTCTCATTATTGTAACATCTTATATAAGAAAATATTTTCGTAGAGATTTTTTGGCACACTTATGTTTTTGCATATTTTTTTATTTGCCACTAATTCATTACAATATATTTAGGTACGAACATTTTGGTACATTGGATTAATATAATATGTTTAGGTACGGACATTTCGGTAAACTAGTTTAGTATAATATATTTAGGTACCAACATTTTGGTAAACTAGTTTAGCATCATATAGTTAGGTACGGAATTTCGATTTACTTATGTTTTTACATATTTTCTTATGTGTCACTAATTCACTACAATATATTTAGGTACGGACATTTTGGTACATTAATTTAGTAAAATATATTATGATACAGACGTTTAGGTACATTAATCAGAGAAAGTTAAATAAAATTCATTAAGTTAAATAAAATTAGTGGATTAAAATGTGTATAATAATAAATTTAAAATTTAATGTAATAACATTAAATAAGTTATCTATTAAATATAAAAACAAAAATATAATTTGAATTTGAATTCAATACATACTAAAATCAATATTCAATCTAACACCAGGTTTTTATTAAATTTTAATCTTCTTGAAGGATTAAAGTTCGAAGACCCCTACAGAAAACTAGATTTTAATCCTTGGCAAAGATGATTTTTAGACTAAAACCATGAATAAGATCAAAATCTATCTTTTTTCACTCGATACATTAATAACCTCATTTATTAATTATATTTTATTTTTTTAATTATTTCTCTTTTTCTTCCTAATTTTTAATGTATTAATTTATTTCACTATAATTTTCATTTTCATTTCATTTATCGTAATATATTTTGTTGTAAACATTTAGATAAATTAATTTTTGTTACACAATATATTTCGATGTACTTTGTCTTCTTCATTTAGGTACATTAAATTTATTATAATACAATATCAATGCATACATTTAGGTACACATATTTCAGTACATACATTTCGATAGAAACATTTAGGTACAATAATTCAATATAAAACATTTCAGTACTAACATTTCAATGCATACATTTCGGTACACACATTTAGGTACATTAATTTAATATAATACATTTTGGTGCATATATTTCGGTACTAACATTTAAATACATTAGTTAAATATAATACATTTCGGTACTAATATTTCAGTGCATACATTTCGGTACAGACATTTAGGTACATTAATTTAATATAATACATTTTGGTGCATATATTTCGATACATACATTTCAGTACTAACATTTAAATACATTAGTTAAATATAATACATTTCGATACACACATTTAGGCACATTAATTGAGTCTTTCAAGTTTTAAGAATGCTAAATAAAATTAATAAATTAAAAAACCCTTTTTTGGTCAAAAAATAAATTAAAATTTTGTATAATAATAAATTTTAATATTTAATAGGAGACATTAAATAAAATGCACATTAACTGTTTTTGAATTAAGGATACATTAAGGGATTATAATCAATATGTAATCTAACATCAGGTTTATTTTAAATTTCAATCTTCTTGAAGATTAAAGTTAAAAAACCCCTTTTTTAAATTAAGTAAAAGGTTTTTTTTAGCCAAAATGATCCTGAGATTTGCATAACTCATCACTTTAGTCCCTGAGACTTAAAATCAATATAAGGAGTCCCTGAGATTGTCTACCATCAATCATTTTGGTCCATGGGAGAAAAATTAAGTTAAATAAGGATCAAAATAATAAAATTATCCTCAATTTAATAAGCAATAGGCCAAAATGATTTGACCAAATTGAGGGTATTTTTATCTTTTCATCCTTATTTTATGGAGATTTTCACTAAATGATCAAAATATGGATAAACTCGAGACCAATTCTATCAATTTCAAATCTCAGGACCAAAGGAGTTGTGTATTTTGGCTAAAAAACCTCAAGTAAAATTGTAGATTGCAGTGAAGCTTGAAGTTCGATTTTGGTTTATATGCTCCTATATATACTGCGATTTTGGTTTATATTTTCCTATCAATTTTGGTTTATTTGTTCCCATGCTTATTTCTGTGTCGTATATTTCGATTCAAATGAATTACAGGTATGAGGGGCAGTTCATCCAAGATATTGTTGAAGAGATTAGAAAAAAAGTGGATCACGCAGCTTTAGATGTTGCTCACTTTCCAGTTGGAATGGATAATCGTGTGAGACGCCTAAACATGTGGTTACAAGATGGATCAATTGATGTTGGTGTAGCTGTCATCTGTGGGATGGGTGGAATTGGCAAGAGCACTATCGCGAAAGCCGCTTATAACCGCAACTTTGATGGATTTCAAGGTAGCAGCTTTCTTGCAGATATACGAGAATCTTCAGAACAACCCAGTGGTTTTGTTGGCTTGCAAAGAAAACTTCTTTCAGATATCCAAAAGGGGAAAGCAAAGAAAGTATACAATATGGATGAAGGAACAATCAGGATCAAACAAGCCGTGGGCTATAAAAAAGTTCTTATTGTTCTTGATGATGTGAGCAACCGAGATCAACTCAAAGCAATTCTTGGAATGCGAGAGTGGCTTCATCCAGGAAGTAAAATTATCATAACAACTCGACATGAACATTTGTTAAATGCTCATGAAGTTTTTGAAAAGTTTATGGTTCGAGAACTGGGTGAGGATGAATCACTTGAGCTTTTCAGTTGGCATGCCTTCAGACAATCCCATCCAGAAGAAGGTTACATGGAGCTTTCAAGACATGTGGTACAGCACTGTGGAGGGCTTCCATTAGCTCTTCAAGTTCTGGGATCTTCTCTATCCGGAAAAAGTGTAGAAGTATGGCAAAGTGCATTGCAGAAGTTCGACGTGATCCCTAATGACAAAATTCAAAAAGTTCTGAGGATAAGTTTTGATTCTTTACAAGATGATCATGACAAAAATTTATTCCTTCACATAGCCAGTTTCTTCACAGGAAAGAAGATGGATTATACGAGTACAATATTGGACAGCTTAGAGTTTTACACAAGGATTGGGATTGAAAATCTAGTTGACAGATGCCTAGTGAAAATTCAAAGGAACAGGTTGGTCATGCATCAATTGGTGAGAGACATGGCAATGGAAGTTATTCGTGAAGAATCACCTGATGACCCTGGAAAACGTAGTAGAGTGTTGCAGAAAGATGCCTCTAATATTTTGAGAAAATTAAGTGTAAGAACTATGTTTTTCATGTGTATGTATTTTTCGTTCTGATTTGCATGTGCAGTACTAGTTATATACTTACCCAATTCTCTGATTTGTTAGCAGGGTACGGAAAATGTTAAGGGCCTCATGCTCAACCTTGCTTGCAACAGAACGTTAGTTGGAAGTGATAAACAACGCTGCCATGTTGAAGATTATGATGAAAATTCTTCAAGACGAAGTGGGCTTGGTTTCTTCTCTTGGAAACCAATTAGCTTTTCATCCACAAACTCAGCTTCTGCATCAAATGAGATAGATTTCAAACCTGAGGCGTTTAGAAGGATGCACAATCTTGAAATTCTCATGCTCAACAACGTCAATGTCAGGGGAAGCTACGAAGAATTTCCAAAAAGTTTAATATGTTTATCTTGGAGAGGATTCCACTTAAAATCAGTACCAGAAAATTTTTATTTGGAAAACCTGGTTGTTCTTGACATGCGAAATAGTAGCCTACAACATGTTTGGAATGGGATCAGGGTACGTAACTCTCTCTCTCTCTCTCTCTCTCACTCTTTCTCTCACACATGTCCATTATATCTTCTTAGAAATTGATTAATACTTGTTATTGAAACAGTTTCTTCCGAGGCTGAGAATTCTTAATCTCAGTCATTCGCATGGCCTTAGGACAACCCCCGACTTCTTAGGACTCCCTAACCTTGAGAGATTGATTCTTAAACATTGCATAAATTTGGTTGAGGTTGATGAGTCCATCGGATACCTAGAGAAACTTGTTGTTTTGAATCTAGAAGGCTGCAAAAATCTCATGAAGCTTCCAAAATTGAGATCTATTCAGGATCTTATTCTTTCTGGTTGCTCAAAGCTTGTGCTTGGTGCCAATACGACTGCCACAACTGATCACTTACAATCTACAGCTTGTGAAATGAAGAAACTCATTCTGTTATCACCTAAATCATGGTATTCAATCTGGTCGTCGGTGTCGCCGAGAAAAAATATTGAATCAAGCAGTTTCTCATTGGCAAGTTTACCGCATTCCTTAACAAGTTTACGTCTGGATCGCTGCAATCTATCAGAGATTCCGAGTGCCCTTACTATGCTGCCTTCGTTAGAGTACTTGGATCTGAATAACAATCCATTTACAAGCCTACCAGAGAGCATTAACAATCTTGTTAAGCTTTGCACTCTTGTAGTAGAAGGTTGCAGAAACCTCACAATGCTTCCAGAGCTCCCACATAGTTTGAAAGAATTGAATGGTAGAGGTTGCACATCATTGAAAAGAATAACAAATTTACCGAACTTGCACATATCACCGGCCACACATTCCTTATCTGACAGCATAGTGGAACCATGTTTAAAGCGTTACAACATATTATTGGACTCAAATTTATGGTATTGTGGGAAACTAGTTGATGTTGCAAGCTTGTTCAATACACTACCATTGAGCAGCTTTGACATAAAACTCCTCAAAGATATCGATCTATTCGATTTGAAACCCACCGGTGGCGTTGAGGTCCTAAGGAACAACTATTGTGCAAGTAGGCGCTCCAAGGTTCTCTCTCTCTCTCTCTCTCTCTCTCTCTCTCTCTCTCTCTGTGTTATGTACAAGTGCTTATAATATGATCTCTATGGCGTAAACGATTAGATCGTAATCACAACATCACCATGAAACTGCAGGGAACTTTTGAATGCGGCATATTTAGCATTTGTGTCCATGAGAGCAAGATTCCAGATCGGTTCAATTACAGGAGCATGGGTAACACTGTTTTCTCTATTATTGTTCCTTCACAGCCTAATATCAAGGTCGTAGGTTTAAATGCATGTATATTGTATGCCCGGCAATCGGATCGAAGCCCTGAGATTGCACGTGGCCATCATCGCCATTCGCTTGAACTTAGGAATGAGACAAAGGGCCTTAAGTGGAGATTACGGCTGTCGAAAAAGGTTGAATGGAAAGTGATGAACGAAGATATGTTATGGCTAACCCATTGGATTATGGGGAACAATGAATTGGAATGCGGGGAAGAAGTGTGTTTTGAAATAATCGACGAGCAAGACGGTTTCCTCACAAAGGAGATTGGAGTCCAGTTTGTGTACGAGCAGCAAAATAAGGATAAGGAGGATATCCCATCAAGTAGTGAAGATGCAATTATCCTACGTTGCAGATGGCCTTGGTGGTGGAACGCATCTTTCGCTGGACCGGGGTATGACACATCGCCTTGGAACTGGGTCAATGGAACCACTGGAGCGGACTTATTGGAGACAAGTACCGATAGGAAAAGGATCCATAACTGTGAGAAGGAATCTATTTCAACTGTCGTCTGCGAGGTTAGATACCATCTCTGTAACCATGAAGTAATCGATCCTGAGAATGACTCCCGCATGACCCCATAGTAACGAGTGCTCTAAACTATTACCCAGTTTAATTCAAATTGATGTTGGTCATGCACATATCACTAGATTCAAATGTGTATTGGTTGTTAAGCTTCGTTTCTATCTATTTTCAATTTTTTCCTAAAAAAATTGTTTTCAATAATTTAATATACAAAATTTCATACCAAACAAGTTCTTGCATGTATAAAGTATGAATTTAAAACCCATTTTTAAGAAAAATAAAGTTTTAGAGCCCAACTAGAAAATAAGCCCACGCGTTGCGGCAGGAACCAACTGTTTCAGGCGTAATTGCATGAATAAGACACATTTAAGGCGTAACTGCATATATAAATAAGACACAAAGTGCAGGAAGTAAAGCTCATATTTTTAACAGTGTTATTTTAACAACAATTCTTCAAGTGGTGGATTGCCCCGGTGGGTTAAAGTTCTACTGCATTCCGGGTTAAAGTTCCAACCATCCCCAGTACCAGTTTAAGCACACCAAAGACCAAATTTAGCATGTTCTGTCGTCATCCACCCAACCCCAGCAGATACTCATACAAAATTCAAACAGAACTTGCCAAATTAATCCTCGTAAAATACAGAACGAAAATAGTTTATGATCACTGACCTCTTTGAATCAAATGATATTCAGATTCATCAGTGATCTGTGGTTCATGATTTCCCTTTGAACATGTTCATCCATCTGCATCACCAAAAAAAAAAATATATTTTTAAAAAAATACAAAATGAAAATAGTTTATGATCACTAACCTCTTTGGATCGAATGATATTCGGATGGTCGAATTTATGGTATTGTGGGAAACTAGTTGATGTTGCAAGCTTGTCCGAGATAAAACTCCTCAAAGATATCGATCTATTCGATTTGAAGCCCAACGGTGGCGTTGAGGTCCAAAGGAACAACTATTGTGCAAGTAGGCGCTCCAAGGTTCTCTCTCTCTCTCTCTGTGTTATGTACAAGTGCTTATAATATGATCTCTATGGCGTAAACAATTAGATTGTAATCACAACATCACCATGAAACTGCAGGGAACTTTTGAATGCGGCATATTTAGCATTTTTGTCAACGAGAGCAAGATTCCAGATCGGTTCAATTACAGGAGCATGGGTAACACTGTGTTCTCTATTATTGTTCCTTCACAGCCTAATATCAAGATCGTAGGTTTAAATGCATGTATATTGTATGCCCCGCAATCGGATCGGAGCCGTCATCATTTCCCTTCGCTTGAACTTAGGAATGAGACAAAGGGCCTTAAGTGGAAATTATGGCTGTCGTATGTGGTTGAATGGAAAGTGATGAACGAAGATATGTTATGGCTAAGCCATTGGATTATGGGGAACAATGAATTGGAATGCGGGGAAGAAGTGTGTCTTGAAATAATCAGAAAGCAAGACGGTTTCGTCACAAAGGAGATTGGAGTCCAGTTTGTGTACGAGCAGCAAAATAAGGATAAGGAGGATGTCCCATCAAGTAGTGAAGATGCATTGATCTCACGTGACAGATTGCTTAATATCATGGGAGCGGACTTATTAGGCTTTACGAAATGGATCCGTAACTGCGAGAATGAATCTATGTCAACTGTCGTCTGCAATGTTTGTTACTATCTCTGTAACCATGAAGTGATCGATCTTGAGAATGACTCCCGCATGACCCCATAGGAACGAGTGCTCTAAACTATTACCCAGTTTAATTCAAACTGATGTTGGTGATGCGCAAATCACTAGATTCAAATGTGTATTGGTTGTTAAGCTTCATTTCTATCTATTTTCAATTTTTCCCTAAAAAATTGTTTTCAATAATTTAATATACAAAATTTCATGCCAAACAAATTCTTGCCTGTATAAAGTATGAATTTAAAACCTGTTTTTAAGAAAAATAAAGTTTTAGAGCCCAACTAGAAAATAAGCCCACGCGTTGTGGTAGGAACCACTGTTTCTGGCGTAATTGCATGAATAAGACACATTTCAGGCGTAACTGCATACATAAATAAGACACAAAGTGCAGGAAGTAAAGCTCATATTTTTAGCAGTGTTATTTTAACAACAATTCTTCAAGTGGTGGATTGTCCCGGTGGGTAGGGCATTTCACTTAGTCCTACTGCATTCCGGGTTCAAAGTTCCAACCATCCCCAGTACCAGTTTAAGCACACCAAAGACCAAATTTAGCATCTTCTGTCGTCATCCACCCAACCCCAGCAGATACTCATAAAAAATTCAAACAGAACTTGCCAAATTCATCCTCTTAAAATACAAAACGAAAACAGTTTATGATCACTGACCTCTTTGAATCGAATGATATTCGGATTCTTCAGTGATCTGTGGTTCATGATTTCCCCTTGAACATGTTCATCCATCTGCATCACCAAAAATATATATATATATATATATATATTTTTTTTTTTTTTTTAAAAATACAAAATGAAAATAGTTTATGATCACTAACCTCTTTGGATCGAATGATATTTGGATAGTCCAGTGATCCATGGTTCATGATTTCCCTTTGAACATGTTCATCTATCTGCATCACCAAAAAATTAATAAATATTAAAAAAAAAAATACAAAATTTAAAGGATAAGAATTGCGAAGATTTTTAGGTCTTAGTTCGGAATGAAATAGCTCGTCTCACCTCCATATATTAACAAATCTTAGTCTATATGATTTTGCCAGAGCCACCGAATGTTGAATATATATCTGTTGAATGTTCTACTACCATCAACATTATAAAGGTTTCTAATTGAATCATATGTTTAAAATCCAAGCATGAAAGGTTTACAGAGATAAATAAACAAATGTAAATAACTAATTAAGCAATACACAGCATAGAGGGGAGAGAGAAAGAGCAGTTGAAGGAGTGAGAATCAAAGTAGCATAGCAAGTGGAGAGTAAGCAATTAAGCATAGTCATCTCACGTAGGGAATGCCTGAGAACTGATCTTTGCTTCTCTTCCTTATGATCCTCTTAAATGCAATTCTACACATTTCTAAACCAAATTTACAAAGCAGAATTCAAAGAAATTTAAAGAAACCTAGTAAAGATTCAAACTTTTTTATTATCCAAAAGATATACATAACCTCATGCAACAAAAACAAATTTATGACACAAACGACATGATCTTTAGCCACAAAAAGCAAAAGAGAGAGAGAGAGAGAGTGATTTTGCTTTTTGCACTATGCAGAATATGCAGAGAATCAAAATATCATAACCCATTTAACAACATGATATTTTAGGCAATAAGGCATCACATTTAGACCCCAAATGAAAGAATTTGAGAGAGAGAGAGGGCATACGTGGTTGCCAAGAAGAGGGAGAGAGCAATTCTATTTCCTGTAAAAACGAAGAAACAGAGCATTAACAAACACACATGCACAAATCTTAAAGGAAATTGGTAAGAAATAATCGTAATTGAGAAAATAATCAGAAAACCAGAGAAGACACAACTGGAGTCTAATTCTACAGAACCCATGACAAACAAATATCCAAAATTTACAGATTACAGTAACAACATTCCAACAAAAGTAAGAAGACCAGATAAATTATCTATTCTAAAGTAATCCAACATATTAAAGGGAGTCACGGAAGGCCAGTATCTAAGGTAATCCAACATATTAAAGCATCCAAACACAGACTCAGAATTACAAAACACATGAAAATTCACATTCCAACGTGTTATGAAAATGCAATCACCAATTTCAGATCAACCCAAACCAAATAAACTTATATCAGTACGCATCAAACCCACCAAACTCAATCAATTTCATCAGTATATAATTGCACGAAAAGTTACATTGAATGCAGACTCAATCAATTTCCCCAAAGTCATTGTTAACTGAAAATCAATACCAAACCCATAAATACCACCATAGAATTTGGCAAAACCCAAAACAAAATACAAAAATTTACTCATATAATCACAGAAAAACATGAAATTTGAGCACCCATTTGGCCAAGTTAAAGGATAAAGGCACTCACATCATCGTAGTACTCTTTGGGAAGATCTTCTAATACTGGTTCTTCCTTTTTCTTGCTTTTCCTCAGAGCTTCCATAAAAAACCCAGAGAAGCACACATTCAGAAAAGAAAAGGTCCAAAACTGCCATAAAGAATCCAGAAAGCATACAAATTTATCAGAACAAAAACCAAATGATGTGAATGAGCAGTGAGAGGTTGTGTTAGGCACCTGAAACACGTTTTGGTTTCAACTGAAAGGGCCAGAGCGTTGCATGCGAGGAAGATGACGATAGGATTCCAGAGACAACATCCACATTCTTTTTTCTTGGGTGAACTAACCAAGCCATATTATATACTAAAACGACATCAAAAATCATTCACAAAATCACAAAAAAACAGAACAAAAACATTCACAAAAGAATTCCCCAAGTTTTCAAATGGAAATTAAACATTTACATAGCTTATATAAAAAGTCAAAATATAAAAAATTAATCAAAAGGTTGAGAGAACTCACATCCCAGTAATGCTTATTGCTGATATTAACACCCACTGACACCAGCCCTTGGTTTGTGGAATTCCCACGCCCAACTCCATGACCTCTGTCTCTGCCCAACTCCATGACCTCTGTCTCTGCCATCCCAGTAAGAGCTTACCAAACTTTTCTAATTGCTAAATTGTTCATTTAACTTGATAACTTCTTCCTGCAATCCATAAGTAAGATCATTAGATGCGGTAAATAAAACATCATACTTCGTCCATGGCAATCTAGCAGAGAAACCAATTGCATTCAGATGGAGCGTAATTTGTGGAACTACATTTATATGCACTGAAATACATTATCATGTTGTCATATTTAAAACTGAGGTTTATGCAGTATGCTATCTTTAGCATACACAAAATTTTTGCCCCTCATTTTTGAAGTTCTGCACTTCATAATTTATATACCTTCAGTTTCCCTTCTAATGAAGGTATGGACTGCTTTCCATTTGGAATTTTCGTAAGACAATGTTATGATATTCCTAATTTAGAATGTGTTTCCATTCTAATCAATGCAAGCCCTAAATCATAAATATTGTACAATTAGATCTCAATTACTCTGATGTGTTTGAGCATGTGGCAGGGCATGAGAATCAGAACCACTCCATGTTGTTCTCCGCTTCGTGATTTGGTCATCAAACAATACTTCATTCCCTCCATCTGTTATCACGTCTTCTTAATGATCATTAGTTCGTCTCCGAACTGTATCCACAAAAAACTACAAATTAATCCCAAAACAATCATTCAAAAAAATTGCGGATTAGAGTCGATTACGTACCATTTTCCCAGGATGTAGAGCTCGGTGATGATTCCCTCCTCGTTTTGCACCTTAAACATCGACATTTTAAACCATAAACCAAAATCAAAAAACATAAAGAAATACGACTGACAGAATCACACTGTAAGCCACCACTCCCTCGCTTCCACGGTTCCACCCACAACACCAAAACAACAATAACAATAATAACAATGTACACTCAGACAAAACAAAAATGCACCAAAGCCCTCCAGTGCTATAACAGCACTTCTAGGACAACTTTGATATCTATGGACTGTTCCTTTCTCCATGTTACAACGATAGTATAGAGCTCTTACAACATCACAGATGCATGACCAAGAGTGTATTCGACAACCTTTTCTCTGATCCTTTTCATCAGTTGGTCCTAAAGATTGTATTCTTTTAAATTCATCTTCTTTTTCGGTATCAACACACATTTATCACTTCATATGACGAACACAAAACACCTAACATTTTGGGTGACAAATTAGAAGCAACTAATCAGAAGCTGGGTACTGAGAATTAAATTACTCTTTGTTCTTATAGTCCTAATGAAAATTACTCATTGATTCACAAAATTAATCAAACTAAAATGCAAGAAAAGCAAATCAACAACCCATATCAAAATAATATGAAAAGATCCCAACAAACCAACCAAACAATTAACATTTAAAATAAAAAATTGCAAAGTTGGAGGGAAAGAAGCACCAGAAAAAAATATACACATCCAATGCTTTTAATATAAAGCTAGAAGTAGGAATAACTGAGTAAGTTAATGAAGGCAAAGCAGAGGGTAGGAAGCAGAACATACCAAGAGACCAGTAGAGCTTCCAGGGCGGTCTGCCGATGAACGCCGTGTAGGCCCGGCAAAGAAGTAAAAGTCGAAAACAGCCCCAATGACCTTGTAGGTGAGAGAAGTCCCTCTGTAGAACACATCCATGCCATTGCTGTTGAGCAGCAGAACAGAGTGCGCGTAATCCTCGTTGCTGACATTCCGGAGATCCATGTAAACCCGAGTGGGACCCGTACAAATCAGTGTTGAGATTGATCGCCGAGACTTCAGTGGTGAAGAGGGTGTATGGATCGTTCGGGTAGAGCTTGAAATCGTGCGGCTGAGAGTTCTCTCCGAGGCCGTAAAGGGAGGAGTCTTTCGGCAGTCGGGTGGATATCTCGAGGTACTGGTCCTTAAACACCAGTTCGCCATCCTTCACCATTGTGGCACGGCAAGGCTGTTTATATAGGCTAGTTTGGCACACTTAGTGAAGGAGAAGGATTGCACTTTCCCATTGAAAAAGGGTTAACTCAATGGCAGAACTCAAGTGGGAATTGGAATAGGTAGTGCGACTAGGAATTAGGGAGTTCTAGAAGGCTAGGTGCGGCAAGGGTTGTAGGGATAAGATAAGGCTTCTAGAAAGAAGGGTTTAGAACAGATTCCTAATCCTAAAAGGATATGAACATGTGATATAAGAGTAGGAGAAGGTTTTCAATTCCTAAACCTACTAGGAGTGGTGTACATGCGGCATACAAAGGAGTGAGGGTCTAGAATCTGTTCTAAGTGTTTAGATATACATCTAATCCCACCTAAATAGCTAAGTTTAAGTCCCCACCTGATTTGGATAGGATAGAATAGGATAATGTTAGAGATAGGATAGGATAAGGTTTCTAGGATAGGATAAGATAAGGTTGGATAAGGTTGGATAAGGTTCCTTGTTTCTTGCTTCTTCCTTATCTTCATTGTATTAGGACTTCTTCCACCAGATTTGTAGCCCTTCCTAGCTCTTCTAGTCTTCAATTTCGTTCATCCTCTTTGCTCCATGGTTAAGCTATCCAATCCATGCCCAAAAATGCTCCAAATAGCCTCAAAATGCACTCTCTTGCTCTCTTTGCCATTAGGACCTAAAAACAAACGAAAATAGCTTAAACTACTGAAACAACTATGAATTAACAACATATATGCACGAAAACAAACTAAGTAAGTCGCCTAAATATGCTCCTATCAAATTCCCCCACACTTAGCTTTTGCTAGTCCTCGAGCAAAACAAAATAACCAAAACAAACAAAACACATTCTTGACCTTCCAACATGTACCTCAGGGATTTCCAACGAACATAACACATTAAAGAACATCATTCCCACGGTTTTTAGCTTTCTTTATACTTCAACAAACACTTAATCATAGTTACTACTTATTAGTTCACATTTAATCAACTAAAACAACGTTTTGAATGTAGGAACATGCCTTAGAGAATTCCCTCAATTCCTCACTAGAATGCACTCTATTTTCACACAGATTTTCTAACTTCACACCCTACACTAGGTATATGTGAGAAGATTGATGTAAATATGAAGACTAACACTCACATATGTTATATCAAAGAAAGCATTTTCTGGATTTACGACAATGACATGAATATGATCTCATGAATGGAATGCTACTACTTAGAACGAGAACCAGTGATTCCATATGCTCATACCAACTTCAAACTCCACATATTGAACACCTAACATCAAGATAGAAGTTGAGGGTTGTAAGGAGGCTTAGGTATTGGCTAACAAAGAAAGGTAAGGATAAACAAAAGTTCTTAAAGCGATAGTAAGCAAAGTAATGAATTTGACACTTAAACTCTCTTCAAATGGCCGAAATCAATTAGTACACACAAGGGGAGATTCATGCAACATTTAGGGTCAAATTCACTCTTTTGGACCCTTCCTTCAACAACCAACACTTGTGAGTTCATTCTCACTTATTTTTCAACTCCTTTTCTTTCTTTTGAACACTTTTCTATTTTCTTTTGATTTTTCCACGAATTTTTTTTTTCTTCTTTCCTTCTCTCTTTTTTTTCTTTTCTTTATTATTTTTTTTTCTTTTCTTTCTTTTTTCTTCTTTTGTCGTGCCCTATCATCTTCCCCCACACTCATTTTCTGCCAAATATTGACCAAAGGAGTTCACTCTAGGTTGTGCTTCACTATCCCTTAAGAACAAAGGTATGGAAAGTCCTAATCTAGGCTAGGTGAGGATAATGTGGCTAACAAAGAAAATAGTCTTTGAAAAGGCTCAAGAGGGTTAATCCTACAATACATATGAAAAGGGATAGGCTTTTTGGCTCTGGCTTGACTAACAACTTCATCTTATTGTATGTTATGCAATCAATACCATGCTTTGAATGAAATGGGCATGAGTTCTAGTATTTGGAACTATAATGAGATGCATTCCAAGTAGTAACCAAGCAAAGAATGATGAGATCATGCAACGACTTTAGAAAACAAGAAATCACAGATTATACTCTCCAAAGAACGTTATAGGCTCAAGTCTCTCAGGGTTGTAGCGTTAGTTTGAGTTTCTTCCTTCAAGCATGTTACAAAAACTGAATTTTTTTCCTTTGTGATTACATGTGAATTCATAAGCTATAACCATAACCAAGCATAAACCAAAGCACAAATCAACTTCCAGCCATGTTTACAACATTCTTTAATAGTCATGCAATTAAAAACCAAATCCTCATCATTGTGTTGGAAGGTACCCTAAGACACAAACACACACAAAAACAACTTTAAAACAACTCTTTTTGGGTTTTTTGAAACAATTTTTCAAATTTTTATGGGATTTTCGAATATTTAAGTCAAAACACACTAAAACAGTTTAAAAACACTTAAAAACAGCAAGAAACAACATTAGAGGTTATGGTGGATAAAACCCTACGAATTTGCATCAAAACACTTTAGTTACCCCCCCCCCCCACACTTAAATCAAACATTGTTCTCAATGTTTCAAGCATAGACTCACACAATTAACAAACAAACAAACAAAACAACAACTAAACAACCTAACATGGCAGAAACGAAATAGCAACAAAGAGAAGAGTTTAGGAACGCATATCTGGAATTGGAGTGCTTTCTAGGTCTTCCCTTGTTGAATGCATGGGTTGCCTCCCAAGTAGTGCTTGCTTTAACGTCGTACAGCCGGACGAAGAACCCAATCACTCCAGATTGGAGCCCACGACACCCAAGGGGGTGTCATCCACGGTGTGCTCCACAAAGTTCTCATAATAGGCCTTCAAACGATGCCCGTTCACCTTAAATTCATGTCCCGTTTTCAAGCTCTGGATTTGGACTGCACCATGAACAAAAACATTAGTAATAACAAACGGTCCAATCCACTTGGAACGTAACTTACCGGGAAACAAACGTAAACGGGAATTGAACAATAGCACTTTCTGTCCAATGGAGAAGGATTTCCCACGGATCATGTTGTCATGGAAAGCTTTGGTCTTTTGCTTGTAAATGCTTGCATTCTCGTACGCCTCGTGCCGTATTTCATCAAGCTCATTCAATTGGAATTTCCTATGGCTTCCCGCTTCATCTAAGTGCATGTTGAACTTCTTGATGGCCCAAAGAGCTTTATGCTCCAACTCCACGGGAAGATGGCACGCCTTGCCATAGACAACTCGAAAAGGGGACATCCCAATGGGGGTTTTGTATGCCGTACGATACGCCCAAAAATGCATCATCTAACCATAAACTCCAATCCTTTCTTGTTGGCCCAACGGTCTTTTCTAGGATTTGCTTGATCTCTCGGTTGGAAACCTCGGCTTGGCCATTTGTTTGAGGATGGTAAGGTGTAGAAACCCTATGGTTGACACTGTATTTCCTCAATAATGCCTCAATGGTCCGGTTGCAAAAATGGGACCCTCCATCACTAATGATCACTCGTGGCATGCCAAACCTTGCAAAAATGTTAGTTCTAATAAAATCTGCAACCACTTTAGAATCATTAGTTCGGGTGGCTTTTGCTTCCACCCACTTCGACACATAATCAACCGCCAGCAAAATATACATAAAACCATATGATGACGGAAAGGGACCCATAAAGTCAATACCCCAAACATCAAAAATTTCAACATTTAGGATAGAAACCTGCGGCATTTGGTCCTTTGCACTAATACCACCCATTCTTTGGCATTTATCACATGTTAAGCAAAACGTTCTAGCATCCTTAAAAATACTAGGCCAATAAAATCCAAATTGTAACACTTTGAGGGCCGTGCGTTGTGTGCCAAAGTGCCCTCCACATGCATATGTATGACAAAAACTCAAAATTGAATGACATTCAGAATCATGCACACAACGACGTATAATCTGATCGGGACAAAATTTCCATAAGTATGGATCATCCCATACATAAAACCGTGCATCATGCCTAAGTTTGTCACGTTGGTGCCTATTGAACTCACTTGGAATACGTTTTGACACCACAAAATTAACTATATCGGCATACCAAGGTGTACTAACCTTTATGGACAACAATTGTTCATCGGGGAATGTCTCTGCAATGGGTAGGGACTCCTCATTATGCACCATTCGGCTTAGGTGGCCAGCCACCATGTTTTCACTTCCCTTCTTGTCACGAATCTCGATGTCGAACTCTTGAAGTAACAACATCCACCGAATTAGCCGGGGCTTGGCCTCCTTTTTGGTGAGCAAGTACTTTAGAGCTGCATGATCAGTGAAAACAATTACTTTAGTACCAATTAGATATGATCGAAATTTATCTAAAGCAAAGACAACGGCAAGAAGTTCTTTTTTCGTAGTGGAGTAGTTCAACTGGGCATTGTTCAACGTCCGTGAGGCATAGTAGATGACATGCGGCCTCTTGTCCTTTCTTTGTCCCAAAATAGCCCCTAAAGCATAATCGGATGCATCACACATAAGCTCGAACGGGAGGCTCCAATCCGGGGGAACAATAATGGGTGCCATGGTCAACAACTCCTTGAGTTGGTTGAATGATGCCGTGCACTCCTCAGTGAATTCAAACGCCACGTCTTTTTGTAGGAGGCAGCAAAGAGGTTGTGCAACTTTTGAGAAATCTTTGATAAACCTACGATAGAAACCTGCATGGCCAAGAAACGAACGAACCTCTCTAACCGAAGTCGGAGAGGGTAAGTGACGTACAAGATCTATCTTTGACTTATCAACTTCAATGCCATTTTCAGATATGATATGACCTAAAACTATGCCTTGTTTAACCATGAAATGACATTTTTCCCAATTAAGAACAAGGTTAGTTTCAACACAACGTTTTAGAATCAAACTTAGATTATGCAAGCAACCATCAAAAGAATCTCCAAAGACACTGAAATCATCCATAAAAACTTCAATTATTTTCTCAACATAATCGGAAAATATGCTCATCATGCATCTTTGAAATGTGGCAGGTGCATTACATAAACCAAAAGGCATGCGATGATATGCAAATGTACCAAAAGGGCATGTGAAAGTGGTTTTTTCTTGGTCCTCGGGTGCAATGACAATTTGATTATAACCGGAATAACCATCAAGAAAACAATAGAAAGCATAACCGGCTAACCTCTCAAGCATTTGGTCAATGAACGGCAATGGGAAGTGATCCTTCCTCGTGGTGGCGTTTAGCTTCCTATAGTCG